ACCACTACTACTACTACTACTACTACCACCTCCACCACTACCACTACCACTACCACTACCACCACCACCACCACCACGACGACTACTACTACTACTACTACTACTGCGACTACGACTACGACTACGACTGCGACTACGACGACGACGACGACTACTACTACTATGACTAGGACGACGACGACGACGACGGCGACTACTTCTGCTGCTGCTATGTACTGCAACTGCTACTGCTGACACTAGTATTGCTACTTTGCTACTATTGCTGGTGCTGCAACTACCGCTACTGCTACTGTATACTACTGCTGCTACTACTGCCACTGCTTCTACTACTGCCGCAGGAGATATTCGTGTGTCTGCGACGACGAAAACGATGGCGGGGCAACAATAGCAACGGCAACAGCAGGTACAGCAGCCACAACTTAAACAGCAACTGAAACAGCAGCAACAATGCTGTAGTCACCGAAATATGAGTTGAAACAAGTAAGACCCCCACCAACAAGAACAACAGCAATGCCAAAAGCCCTGAGAGTACCGATATTCAAAAGAATCAAGACAGGCAGGGATTTCTCATAATCGGACAAGTTGCACAGGTTGGGCCTGAACCATCTGCTGGGGCTGCACGGCTTGAACTGGACTGAGCGGCGTGTTGGGGGAGATCGGCTGCTGGTAGTACTGCATCGGCTGGTTCGGCGAAATCGGGCCCGGCTGGTTCGGCGATGCTTGCACCCACTGCTGCGGCTGCATCTGCCCTTGCAAAGCAGGATTCTGCACCATCTGCTGTTGCGGAAGAACTTGCTGCTGCTGAAGCTGGCCCGTGACCGCCTGAGATGGATGCCAGGACACAGCTGCAAACACTCAAGCAAGAAGCAAAGGAGGAGAACAAGAGCAAGCACCGGACTAGCAACGATAATGACGGTGATGCTATTTAAACATGACAATACTTGTCATCAAGTTCCTGAGACGTGCCAACATGGGGGCCTCAACGACACTCAGCACCCTCTCTTGCTCCATTTTTTGAGGCTCCCCCCCTGAAGCCCCCGACATCTCAAGGCACCGAGTGCTGGTTTAGGGTTTAGGGTTTAGGGTCTAGGGTTCAGGGTTTAGGGTTTAGGGTTTTGAAGGAGAACTAGTCACTTTGGCTCCTTGCTTTCTTTTCAGTTAGACTGCCCCTGCTCCCTTACTACCACGCTGCTTGGGGTTCAGGCTTTGCCCCCCGAAACCCTAAACCCTAAACCCTAAACCCTAAACCCTAAACCCTAAACCCAAACTCCTGAAGCACCCTCTTGCAGACCCTCGAAAACGCCTCCAATAGCCGCTCCGAATGTGCTTTGGCCTAGGAAAGTCTCTGGAAATCCGTTTAGGGCCTTTAGGGTTTTGGGTTTAGGGTTGTAGGGTTTTAGGTTTTTGGGCTTTAGGGTTTTGGGTTTTAGGGTTTTTGGGTTTTAGGGTTTTGGGTTTAGGGTTTTAGGTTTTGGGTTTAGGGTTTTAGGGTTTTAGGGTTTAGGGTTGTAGGTTTTGGGTTTAGGGTTTTAGGGTTTTAGGGTTTTAGGTTTTGGGTTTAGGGTTTTAGGTTTTGGGTTTAGGGTTTTATGGTTTTAGGGCTTAGGGTTTTAGNNCCTAAACCCTTCAAAAGGCCCGACAAAGTCCCTGCGAGCTCCCTTTAAAAGGCCCTGCCAAGGCCCCCAAAAGACCCGCGTGCTTCGCCCAGCCGCAGGGCTCTGCACATAGCCAGGGGAGCCTTTTCTGCTCACGGTCGGGGGGTCATTCCAAGGTTCCTTTAAGGGCTTAGGGATTTCGGGGCTTAGGGGTTTAGGGTTTNNNNTAGGGTTTTAGGGTTTAGGGTTGAATATGAGAGCTCGCGCTTTATCGCTTAAACTTAGGGCTTTGTTCAGGGCGGGGGGCATATATCTCATATGAGTGCTAGAACTGTAGTCGAGCGAGTGAGGGAAAAATTGAACATAGTCTCTTCGTCCTTTGTGATCGAGCACCTGTGCTCCGCGGGGCATTGGCTGTTTCAGTCATCCCAAGGGTTTGCTTTCAGCAACTTTACTGCAATCGCCAGAGTTTCGAAGTTCGGGCGCGGGAAAGTCTCGGAACAGATGAGATGCGCGGGGCAAGTACAGGAGCATACTTGGAGGTTCATGGGTAGNNGCGTAACTATAATTATAACCCATATTAGGGGACTTATAACCCCACTTATAACTACCCATGAACCTCCAAGTACTGTTGTTTGGTCTTCTGGCCCGTAAGGTGAAGGCACCAGAGGTGGCACCGAAACTGGCAGAATCTCGGCCACCCTAAACTCCCTAAACCCTAAACCTAAACTAATTTTGAACACTAAACCTAAACCCTACACCCTAATCCCTCAACCCTAAAGCTAGACCCTAAACCCTAAAACCCTAAACCTTAGCTCTGCAAACCAAATTAGACATCTCCAGCTGCAGGCCGCGGACTTGGGAAAGGCTCGCAAGATGCGGGACCTTCACAATGGCAAGAGCTCCAAATGGGTGTCGTCAAAGCACCTCAAGGAGGCAGACGGCATTGTGTCCTCATTGCACAAGGACTTGAAGAAGATGCAGCAGTATCTCGCCCACAGTCACGTGGATGTCAATACCCTGAAAAAGGACCTGCTGGGGGTCGCCGCACAGGTCCAGGAGGCCAAGGACACGACCAAAGAGCTGGGAAATCTGTGTGGCAAGACGAGCGCCCGTGTAGGAGGAGTGCAAACCTGCATGATTTGTAGCGCCTCCTCAAGTCGGACCCATGAGACGTTTAGGGTTTGGGGTTTAGTGATTGGGGTTTAGGTTTTATAGGGTGGACTCAAAGGCTGGGTTCTTGTTAAGGAATTAAATTTAAGCTACCATAAAAGGGATCTATAGAAAATGGTAGGGTTTCAATATTGTAGTAACTTACATTAAATCCCGTAACAAGAACCCAGAAGAACTCATGCGGGTTGAGGGTTGCGAGTTCAGAGTTTAGGATGCTTTCTTAGAATACCTCGCCATAGCGAGTACGCGCTCTGTGAGACTAGGCTGCAAAGTTCACAGCAGGAAGTCTGAGTTGTAGAATTTCGGGAGTCCGATCTGGCTGAATGCTAAACCCTAAACCCAAAAGCTATACCCTAAACCCAAAGCCCTAAACCAAAACCCTAAACCCTAAACCCTAAACCCAAAACCCTAAACCCCAAGCCCACAGCGATCTTTGCCAGGTGCGGTCTGTCGCTGCAGCCGCTGCGGCTGCGCCTTACGGATACGTGGCAGTCGGTGGAGAGCTTCGTTGCAGAGGTGGGTTTAGGGTTTAGGGTTTAGGGTTTAGGATCGGGGACGTTCTTAAACCTAAGGTTTACAGCCTAATATAGGGGCCCGAAGGATTACCTACTTTATTGTTGGGGGTTTTAGGGTTTAGGGTTTCTTTAAATTTGTTAAAACCTAAGCCCTAATGTAGGGGCTTTAATAATTTGAATAGGGTTTGGGGGCTCCGTTAAAGGGTTCCTTAAAGGGCTCTATAAGGGCTACTATAAGGGTTTAGGGTGGAGGGGCCTTAGTAATTAGAATAGGGTTTTGGGGGTTCCTTATTATAATTATAGTATAATGGGCCCCAAAAAGCTATTCTAATTAATAAGGCTCTTCTATTGCACCCTAGATTAAGACTGTCGGAGACACCTGGTCTCGTGTCTGTGGCAAGCTTAGTGGTCCAGGATTTGGGTTTTAGCAGTTTAGCGTCTAGGGTTTAAGCTTTAGTCTTTTTGGCCAACGCTCTGGCTCCCGGTACCTCTATAGTAAGTTGGGGGCGTACGTAGGGTTCCGGTTTAGGGTTTGCGTTTTCCAGCTGCCTGGAAGTAGTCGATTATACACGCCAGTAGCCTACTCTTTTGGTAGGATGAGAATGCTTGCTGGCACGAATTGCTGATACGCTTTTTTTATGTAGATCTTAACCCTAAACCTTAAATCCTAAACCCTAAACACGAAATCCTAAACCCTAAACCTGAAACTGAAATCCAAAACCTTAAACCCTGAACCTTAAACTCTACCTTAAGAACCCAAAACCCACTTTTTTGTAGGTTCTTATTATAAACCCTAAGATGGGATTTATAGGGACCCTACGAAAAAGTAGGTTTGGGGTTCTTAGGGTAAACCCCAAACCTTACAAGCCCTGAACTCTCCCTTTGCCGAGCTCCTGCCTGCCGATTCCCACGACTCACGCCTGCAATCGACCCTAAGTTCATTAGTGCCTTTAGGGCATTTGGGGGTTTAGGGTTTAGGGTCTAGGGTCTAGGGTTCAGGGTTTAGGGGCCAGAAAGTTGGAACATCACTGTCCTCATGCCCTTACAGCAAAGGGAATCCTAGCACTAATCCTCCTAAACCCATGTTCCAACTTGCTGGGATTCGCTGTAAAACCCTAAACTTAAGCCCCTTTAGGGCCTGTCGGGTTTAGGGCTTAGGGTTGAGGGTCTATGACACAGCACAAGCTATCAGCCGAAAAGCCCCTAAAAACAAAAAGCCTAAACCCTAAACCCTAAAAAAAGAGCAAAACACCCTAAACCCTAAAACCCTAAAAACCCTAACAGACTCGAAACCTGAAGCTCTAAACCCCAAGTCAGGTACAGCGTTGTCTCGTGGACCTCATCACCAAGCCAGCAGCGGCCTCCTTGTCGCAGCGCCCTGTCGTAATTACATCCCAGCCCGGCCCAGCTGCGTTCAATTCGGGTCACAGTTGGGGGTTGAGGGTTTAGGGTTTAGTTTTTGCGGGTTTAGTTAGGGTTTAGTTTTCAGGGTTTTGGGTCTAAACTGGCACGCTGCGTGACCGTTCTACACATCTCAGTTCTATTCATGATCCAGGTACCCTAAACCTATGAGAACCTAAACCCTAAACTCGAAACCCTAAACCCTAAACTCTAAAGCCTAAACCCTAAACAACCCTAAACCGAAACCCTTTGAGCCGAAATCTCAAGCTTCGAAGACCCTCAGAACATAGGGGCCTTAACAATTACCTATACCATTTCCGGGGGTTCCTTATTATGATGATGGTATATATACACCCCAAAAGCCTATTCTCATGATAAAGGCCCCTACATTACCCTAAACTCTAGCATCCAGTGCCTGGGAGCTGTAAGGGTCATGGTGGTAGCTGGCAGTGCCAGCTTCACATTTGGTGGGGAAGGAATCCTGGGGGTTACTAAAGGTGCCTTAATAATTGGAATAGGGTGTGGGGGTCTATCATACTATAACTATAATAGGAACCCCAGGGGTATGTCATACTATAACTATAATAGGAAAACCCAAAACCCTAAACCCTAAACCCTAAACCCTAAACCCTTACTCTAATTACTGTTTCGGGCCATGTTTTTTTTTGCATTGGACCTGGGGCTTCATGGTGTTGGGGTGTTGGGGCGTCCACCACCACGACAATGAACACTACCAACACGTTTAGGGTTTAGGGTTTAGGGTTTAGGGTTTAGGGTTTAGGGGTTTAGGGTTTAGGGTTTAGGACGACTACGTCCTGCTAACTACGACGACAGCGACGACGACGACTACTACTCTACTCTACTCTTACTCTACGAGCTTCGACATCCACCAGTCGTCAGTTGAGATGTTGTGGGCACTTTGCTTCGGCTTAGTTCTATGATCCTGGTTGTCGTTAGCAATTGTTGCTGTTGTGGTCTTTCATGTCGGAATGTAGGTTTAACAAAGACCAGTTGGCACGGATCCTCATGCTCATGATCCCTAGCAAACTGTCAGGATTCGCCGTTGGGCTGGCCTGCCAAACGAAGGGCTCCTGCACTCAGCATGCATGAGGGTTGGTCTGCAGATGGTCCGATATGGAAGAAAGGCTTTAACGGTGATGAGATCCTGTTTGAAGCTTCCGATGCCGTTCCCTAAACCCTAAACCCTAAATCGTATGTTGCCTTGGAATGCTCCGAGTGAGGCTTCCGGTTTTCAGTTCTCCCCCCCTTCTGCACCCACATCTACGGCAAGCCCTCAGCTTTGAAGACCCTAAACCCTAAACCTAAACCCTAAACCCTAAACCTAAACCCTAAATCCTAAACCCTAAACCGAAACCCTAAACCTAAACCCTAAACCCTAAACCCTAAACCCTACATCAGCTGTCGGGCTGTGGTCGCTGCTTTAACTGTTTGTCACTTTGATGGGCGGGGGCATTTGGGACTTTCCGAAAACTAGGGCACCTTATTTTGGGGTCTTTATAATAAGGAACCTATTATATAGGGTACTATATTAGGGTCCCCTATTTTGGAAACCCCCATTTGTCTCAGGAAGCAACGAACAGAGCACGTGTGATTTGTTTGTTATTGTTTGAAGGTTGGTTAAACGTTTGTGTAAGTACATGCGTATGTATGCATGTACGTCACGGTATACTGACGTGCATCCACCTAATTGGTGAACCTTTGTATTTCATATGCACTTTGAATACATGTGTAAAAGAAAATGTACTGGTATGCACGCACACACACACACACACATGTGCAAACACATAAGTGTGCGTGCGGACGGTCGTTGCAAAGCTTCGAGCATGATCACAAGGATGCAGACGTGTGTCTGTGTCTTTATTATACTTAGCTCCCTGTTTTACCTATATACATATACACACTCATATTTTTCATATTTCCATTTATATGCATCTTTATTCAAAGTTGCATATGTATTTGTCTGATTTTGGCTACTTACCCATTGTCCGATTGTATTGTTGTTGGTATCTAATTTACACGGCACGTGCTGAATGGATGTGTGCAGCAGTAGATCTATATACATACACATATATACACAATCTATATATGTATATAACTGTATATATATATATAGGTGTCATACATGTCATGCAAATATACATTGGTATCTGTACATCCCGAAAAGATATTCGCGATGTGACTGGCATTCATAGCAGAAAGCCATTGTCAGATTCGTCTTCGTGGTTTATGGCTGGAAGACCCCTAAACCCTAAACCCCCAAACCCTAAACCCGAAGCCCCAAAACCCCTAAACCCGAAACCCCAAAACCCCTAAACCCGAAACCCCAACACCCCTAAACCCGAAACCCCAACACCCCTAAACGCGAAACCCCAAAACCCTGAACCCTGGACCCGCTCAGGCCTTTGATCGACTGTGCCTGGATCTTTGACAACGCACCCGAACTGCCAGCGCCGCTGATCCACGCAACTGAGTTTGCCAAGCCCTCAGGAATAGCCCAGGAAAAGGGTCCTCAAACAAAGAAAGGCCCTAAACTCGGCATCTTTGCGAATTCCTAGAGCAGGGCGACAGCAGGGCCGGTAGCATTTTAGGATTTAGGGTTTGGGGTGTTATTGTTTAGGGGGTTTAGGGGTTGATGCCTTTCCGCTGCTTTGAGACTTCATCGGGTTTAGGTTTAAGGTTCGCTAGGGGTGTACGATTGGTTTTCTTTAAAGGGCCTTGTGGGTTTAGGATTCAGGTTCGCTATGGTTTAGGACTGAGGTGCTTCAAGGTTAACGATTGAGGTTTAGGGTTTAGGGCCCCTGCTTTGTCCATGTCTAGGACATTTTCAGGTGGGTAGTTACCGTTATAGCAGCCTTATAGAAGGTCTATATACCTTATATAGAAGCTCTATATACCCTAAACTGCCCACATTTAATGTCCTTTGACCATGTTTTGCCCAGCGCCGGGTTGATTGCATGTATGCGGCCAGAGCCGTAGCTACCAATCTCTGCGCCAATGCAGTCCCGAAGTGTGGTTGGTAATGGAGGGGCCCTGAGAAAATACCAATACTGTTTTGGGGGTTCCTATTGTTATGATGATAGTATAATGGGCCCCAGAACCGTATTCTAATTCTTAAGGCTTCTATATATATACATATATATATATATATTATTTCAACGCCGCATCGTGAGTTGTATGGGCCGTAACCAAAGCATCCTGATCACATTTAGGTGGGGGGTTAAACAGCTGGCCTAGAATGTGCTCCACTGTCGAGTGAATGTATGTATAGAAGTGTACATATAAATATATGTGTACTATGCACAGACACACGCACATCTACATGCTGTATACAAGGAGTGTTGATGTACCTGTGTGTACGTCCGGCTGCCAATCGTGTAAGCCTCTCGAAGATGTTGCAGATCTGCCGAAATAATGTTGCTTGATGTGTTTATTCAGTTCGGCTAGAAAGAGTGACAGCGGTCCCGGGATCATTCAGTATATGAAAGCTGCGTCTTCTTGAAAACATGCTTGCGTTTTTTTTGCGCCTGAACCCTAAACCCCTAAACCCTAAACCCCTAAACCCCAAACCACTAAACCCTAAACCTTAAGCCCTAAACCCTAAACCCCAAACCCCAAACCCTTGAGGATCCTATTTAGCGGGGGGCTCCGTCTTTTCTGCAGTCACTGTCGGCTTCCGGCCCTGAACCCAGCACCCTAAACCCTGAACCTTAGGGTTTTCCTAGACCCCCTAACTACCCTCTATTGTACAATATACCCGCTATTAGGGACCATAAGGCAGGGCTCTATTAAAGGGCACTTGGGGCATACTGGTAGGGTTTAGGCATTAGGGGTTTGGGAGTTTCGGGTGCCGGGTTTAGGGGTTTAGGGTTTAGGGCTTCGGGGTTTAGGGCGAAGTGGTAGGGTTTAGAGTTTGGGGTCTAAGGAAGCCTAAAGAATTTCCAGTATTTTTCCTTATAGGGTTCTTTAAAATAATTTCTACTAGAAAGGAGCCCAAAACCCTATTCTAATCATTAGGGCCTGTATGGTAGTCTGCATGATCCGCAGCTGGAGCGAAGCCTATCCTGAACTAAAGAAGCCCTGGAACCAAAGACTGTGGACCCTCATGAACTACTTGGAGGTTCATGGGTAGTTATCAGTAGGCTCATAAGTAGGGTAACTACTGTTATAACCCTATTAGCCTATTAGGGGACTTCCAACCCCACTTCTAACTGCCCCCCGAACCCTAAACCCTATAGAACCCTCTAAAGGAACCCTTAAAGGAAGCCCATAACCCCTCTTATAACTACCCATGTACCTCAGATTGAGACACCCCAAGAGACCAGCAGCTCCTAAGTGCAAGTCCGCAAGTACGTCGCAAGGGGCAGATGCCCAATTTTAGGGTTTAGGGTTTAGGGCTTAGGGTTTCCCTAAGTCGTTTGGGTTTAGGGTTTAGGGTTTAGGTCTTAGGGTTTCCCTGAGTCGTTTGGGTTTAGGGTTTAGGGTTTAGGTCTTAGGGTTTCCCTAAGTCGTTTGGGTTTAGGGTTTAGGGTTAGGGGACCATGAAATCTGTTTGGCCAAGCCCCTACGGTGTAGGGATTTAGGGTTTAGGGTTTCAGGAGCTCCTCCCCTTCCCGAAAGAGCAAAATCTTAGGGGTACCTAGAAATAATTTTGAATCTTTGGCTACTATAAACCCTAAGAAGCAGCTAAAATTATAGGTTTTGCTAGGGGTCTAAGTTCAGTATAGAAATGAGAAAAGGAACAGATCTCCGAAGTCGAGATCCCGGCCGCGGGCGAAGCCGCCGAGACGCCGGAACTTAGGCTGTCCAGGTGCAACTGGTATAGAGTTTAGGGGTTTAAGGGTTAAGGTTTAGGGGATTAGGGTTTATAGGGGTTTATAGGGGTTTAGGGGTTTAGGATTTAGAGCTTAGGGTTCAGATTTCATGGTGTAGGGTTTAGTGCTTAGGGTCTGGAGTTTAGGGTTGGGGGTTGTGGCTCTGGGGATTATAGGCATTAGGTGGAACCACCCCACGTACAGCGGCGCTGTGGGATTCCTTGCAGAACTTCCTTGTCGAGCCAGCAGCAGCAGAGGCAGCAGCAAGCGTTCCAGGCGTTCCAGGCGTTCCTCGAGCTTTACGACCGCCAACGCCGCTCGGATGCCTCGGCTGCACGGGCATCGTCTTCGGACCAAGCGCAATGGAGGACGGCGGTTCAGCAGCTCACAGGTCCAGGAAAGCCTCCGACAAGCCGTTGCCCCGGCGACACCGAGGCCGAACCCTGGAACTCCTGGAGGCGAACGCAAGCCGGAGAACGCAAGCCGAGGCGCGTGCGCTGCAAGGCCTGCAGCGCCTGCAAGCAGCTCCTGCCCGTGGACACCGCACGGCCTCCTTGTGAAACATGGGTGGTCTTCTAAGGGTTTAGGGTTTCCTAACCCTAAGCCCTAAACCTTATACCCTAAACGCGGCGCTATGGAGTTCCTTCTAAGGGTTCCTGCAAAGGTTCGAGTTACACCAGTTTCTTTCAGGCTGCCTTTGGAGGTCCCTTCGAGGCTCGACCGCGGCTCTAGAGAGGTTTAGGGGTTTGAGGATTAGGGTTTCGGGTTTAGGGCCCTAAAACCCTAAACCCTAAACCTTCAAGGTTTAGGGTTTAGGGGTTTGAGGTTTATAAAGGGTTTCGGGGGCTTGAGGTTTGGGCTTCAGGGGCTTAAGGGAACCATGGAAGCCAGAATAATTACGAATACTGTTCCTCAGAGTTCCTGATTGTGTCTATTCTTGAAGGCACCCAAAGCCCTCTTCTTGTTGAGGCCCCTGTATTTTCGAGGGTTTCGGGGTTAGGGATTTGACATTTGGGTTTCGAGCTTTGGGCCTAAGAGTTTTGAGTCGAAGGTGGATCTTTGTCCGGGCTGAGGGTTTGGGGTTTGAGACTTCCTTGATTCGGGCTCAGGCTGCTAAGGCTAAGTTTAAGACTAGATGGGCTCAGGACGGAGAGAAGAAACACAAAGAAGGGTTTAGGGTTTAGGGTTTAGGGTTTAGGGTTTAGGGTTTAGGGTTTAGGGTTTAGGGTTGAGGGTTGAGGGTTTAGGATTGATGGTAGACTAGATCGCGTCAGCAGTGCCGTCGAGTGACTGGGTGTCCCCGACTGTCAACTTTGCGTCCAGTGTCCGGCTTCTGTAAGCGGAACCGGAACATGTCTAATTTTGCATACCGGCGCTGCTACTCTGGGTTTTGAGACAGATTTGTTCATGTTCGTGAGCATGTAGAAACCCTAAACCCTCAACCCCTAAGCCCCTAAACCCCTAAACACTAGGCCCTAAACCCCTAAACCCCTAAACCCTATATCCCTATAAACCCTAAACCCCCTAAACCCTGATCCCCTAAACCCTAACCGCTAACCCCTAAACCCTAAACCCCTAAACCGTAAACCGTAAACCCTAAACCCCTGAACCCCTAAACCCCTAAACCCTAAACTCCTAAACCCGATAAACCCTAATCCCCTAAACCCAAACCCTTAAACCCCTAAACCCTAACCCCTAAACCCCTAAACCCGTAAACCCTAAGCCCTAACCCCAAACCCCTAAACCCCTATAGTCCCTAATCCCCTAAACCCTAATCCCCTAAACCCTAACCCTCAAACTCCTAAACCTTAAACCTTTTGCCCTAAACCCTAAACCCCAATCCCCTAAACCCTAACCCTTAAACCCCTAAACCCTAAACCCTAAACCATAAGCCCTACACCCCTAAACCCTGAATCGGCCCTAAACCCTAAACCGTAAACCCTAAACCCTAAAGCCCTAAACCCCTAAATCAGCCCTAAACCCTAAATCAACCCTAAACCGTTAGCAGATCCTGTGGAGCGAGCAGGCGTGGGGATCAAATTCTCGCCGCGCTGCGTGGGAAGCTGCCGGCTGAAGCTGGTCCGCGCCCAGCAATAAGGGTCTAGGAGTTTAGGGTTTAGGGTTTTAGGGTCTAGGAGTTCAGGGTTTAGGAGTTTAGGGTTTAGGGTTTAGGGGTTTGGAGTTTAGGGTTTAGGGTTTAGGGTGAGGGATTTAGGGTTTAGGTTTAGGGTCAGGGGTTTAGGGCAGGTTTAGGGTTGAGGGAAGCTGGTCTGCGCCCATGAAAAAAAGGGGCCGTAATATATAGTTAGAATAGGGTTCAGGGTTTAGGAGTTTAGGGTTTAGGAGTTTAGGGTTGAGGGTTTAGGGGTTTTAGGGTTGTAGGATTTAGGGTTCAGGGAGCCGTAATAATTAGAATAGGGTTCAGGGTTTAGGGTTTGGGAGTTTAGGGGTTCGGGTTTAGGGTTCAGGGTTCAGGGTTTAGGGATTAGGGTTTGGGGGGCCGTAATAATTAGAATAGGGTTCAGGGTTCAGGGTTTAGGGTTTAGCAGTTTAGGGGTTTGGGTTTAGGGTTCAGGGTTTAGGGTTTAGGGTTTAGGGGGCCGTAATAATTAGAATAGGGTTCAGGGTTCAGGGTTTAGGGTTTAAGAGTTTAGGGGTTTGGGTTTAGGGTTCAGGGTTTAGGGTTTAGGGGGCCGTAATAATTAGAATAGGGTTTTGGCGGTTCCTCTAATGGGCTCCTTAAAGGGTTCTATAAGGGCTGCGATAAGGGTTTAGGGTTTAGGGGCCGTAATAATTACAATAGGGTTTGGGTGCATATTGCACTATAATTATATTAAGGCTCTTTCTTGAGGCTTCTAAGGGGGGGGGTTGACAGGAGTTCGGTTTAGAGTTTAGGGTTTTAGGGTTTAGGGTTTTAGGGTTTTAGGGTTTAGCGTTTAGGGTTTAGGGTTTGGGGTTGAGGGTTTAGGGGTTTAGGGGTTTAGGCAGTTCGGGCCCTAGCATGCAGTGTTAGCGAGAAGGTGGGCCCAGAGTGTGGGGGGGTTTAGGGTTTAGGGTTTAGGCTCTAACACGACTCCTGTCAAAATCATATACAGCTTACCTAAACCCTAAACCCTAAACCCTAAACCCTAAACCCTAAACCGTGTTGTTTGGGGAGTGCTAGTAACCATGGAGCCAAGGGCGATTTGGAGTTAGGGCCTTCAGGGTGGAAGACTGAAGGTTTAGGGTTTAGGGTTGGGGGTTCCTTTAAGGTTTAGGGGTTTAGGGTTTAGGGTTTAGGGTTCCCTTTCAGGTTTAGGGGTTTAGGGTTTAGGGTTAAGGGGTTTGGGCTTCAGGGGTTTGGGGTTCAGGTTTCGAGTTGAGAGCCGCTCGATCTGAATCCTACCTAACCAAAAGCGAGCCCTCAAACTTAGAATCTGAAACACAGCCACTTCAAGGAAGACTGCAGAGCTGCCCCTAGGCCCTAAAGTAGTCCCTTTTTGGGGTTCATATATAGAATCCTATACAGGAGAAGCCAGAAAGTTGGAACATCAATATCCTCATGCCCTTAAGGCAAAGTTTAGGGGATCCTAGCACCAATCCTCCTAAACCCATGTTCCAACTTTCTGGGGTTCACTATAAGGTAATCCCCAAAAGGAACTACTATGGGGCCTATGGCTAAAGAACACCGAGGCGCAGGAACCACCTCGTGGACAGAGCAGAAGACAAGATGCAAGGACCCCGATGAAACACAAGGCCTACCTTCCCAAAGGGTCCAAAGTACCTATATAGTAGAATGTGGGGTTTCTATATTAGGAATTGTAATAATGATTTGGGGAAGTATGCCCCATAACAGTACCTAGGACCCTTTGGGCTTAACCTACCAAAACCTACTTTGTTGTAGGGTCTTATTATAATGGGTTTAAGGTTTAGGACCTGGCTTCTGAATCAGGGTTTCGGCTGAGAGAGTCGACGGCAGGTTTAGGCCTCGAAGTCAGGACATAAGGCTACGGTAGGCAACTCACAGCATCAGGGTTGCAGGTGCAAGATTCAGGATGGTAGCCCCAAGCCCTGGAGCCAAGCCTAAGATATCGGGGTTTGAAGGAAGCGGGCTAAGAGCTCCTCCGGAGAAACCGTGAAGGGTTTAGAGTTTAGGGTTCAGGGTTTAGGGTTTAGGTTGTAGGTTTCCGGGTTTGGGGTTCAGGGTTTTGGGTTTACCGACCTGCTCTCCCAGTACTTGCGGCAGGACAGTATCAGCGGAGTCACGGCGGCCGAGTCACCATCCTGATTTCTTGACCAAAACATGTGTTACCTTTGGGCTCCAGTTACATACATTATGGGTTACTCGGTTACATGATGTATGGCCACAAACCTATACTGCTTAGGTAACTGGAGAAATAAGGCTAAGTTCCCAGAAGGAAGGATAACTTGCTAGCTCCTCTGCTGATGAGATTAGCTTCAGTTGTCACACTAAGGAAAGCACCCTTAGATACTACACTACCGTACATCCATTACGGTAACCCTAAACTCTAGTCTAGACTCTAGACCCCAAGCTCTGAAACCCTAAACCCTAAACCCCTAAACCGTAACTATACTGAACTTAGACCCCTAGCAAAAATTATAAGTTTAGCTGCTTCTTAGAGTTTATAGTAGCCAAAAGTTAAAATCATTTCTAAGTACCCCTAAGGTAAACCCTAAACCCTAAACCCATGTCCCGTCACACGAACCGAGCATCCACAAAGTCGAAGCTCGGATCGGCCTGGGGTGGATGGAATCAGGCGAAAGGTTATACCATACCGGCTACTACGAGGGTGCTATCAAGGTTCCTTCAAGGGTTTCTGTCATGCGTTTCAAAAGGGCTAGTAGTTCCTTCTAGGGTTTCTGTAATGCGCTTCAAAAAGGGCTAGTACGGGCGAAATTAAGGGTTTCGAGACCACTTTCTATTATATCAGCTATAGGTGGTTCCAGTGATCTGACAGAGTTTGGGTTGCGGTGCTCTCGTTGCAAGGCTCAGTGTTTCAGGGACACGAAGGCTTGGGTCTATGTCGTCAAATTCCCCGCATCCTCTGAACCCTAATGTAGGGGCCTTAAAAATGGAATAGGGTTCTAGGCCCCTTCATAGTACAAATATATTCTTAAAGAACAGTATTGGTAAGTACTTAGGCTGCTAGAGTTCACCGTAAAGGTTTAGGGTTTAGGGTCTCAGAGCCTGGTTATCGACCCTGAACATCGGGATCCTTACATCTTACATGTCCCAACAATAATAGTTACAATAGTAATAATAACCAGGATAATGATAATAATCCTGGTGATAATCAAAGTGCTCATAAACGTAATCATGATAATAGTAGTTATAACAATAAAAACTATTGTTATTGTTATTATTACTATTATTATTATGATTATTATTATTGGTATTAGTACTATTATTGTTATTATTATTATTACAAATGATGATAATCATGAAGTCTCTAAAACTCATCCATAGCCCCAGTCGCACTCCTCGGCCAGGAAAAGGCCCCCCCAAACCAGCCAGAAGCTCAGAGGGCTGCTGCTACTTGGAGGATCATGGGACCTAGTAAGTAAGGGTTTAGGGTTTAGGGTTTAGGGTTTAGGGTTCAGGGTTTAGGGTTTAGGGTTTATGGTTTAGGGTTTAGGGTTTAGGGTAAGTAAGGTAGGTAAGGTTATAAGTCCCCTAATTGGGGTTATAAGTATAGTTACCTTGGTTGTAAACTTACTTACTAAGTCCCATGATCCTGTAAGTACCTGCTTCCAACCTCCCCAAAACCTGTCTTTCTAGGTTTTTTGAGACTTTCTTCACCAAAACCTATTTTTCTAGGTTGTTTTTTTGTGATTTTCCTTGTGAAATGTACTTAGAAACTAGGCTCAAATCCTGTCTTCCTAGGTTTTTGTTGTGATAGTCCATATATATGTACGTAGAAATTAGGCTTTTGGGGGGTTCGGGTAGTACCAGCCAAGCTACTACCAAACAAGTTAATGATGGCGGTAGCAATATCCAGAGTATTGCCAGGAGTAATGATTGCAAAGATAAGCGTTCTTGCAACCCCCCTGGCCAGATCAATTGTAATCCTAGCAAGATCCACCATAGTGCCAGACATGACCACCAAAGCGACATGCGGCCGTCCTTGCCCTTTTTAGGATATATGTCACTCTCTTTGCCCCATTCTCACAAGAATAACCGGACGACAGTATACCTATCTTGCCATAAGAGGCTGGAGCACTAGACTCGATCGAGTCACAGGTACGTTTGCAGGACGGGCAGGTATGCAGCGCAGTATCTTGTTTCGCCCATATGAGCGTGATGCGGGAATACTCCGGCATGAGGTCGTTCCTACACCGATTATCTGCACCCCAGATAGGCCTTCTTGTCCAGCATGGCCTGCACACCCGGCGCATCCCCTTTGCATATGGCTTTGCAAAGCTCCTTGCGGGAAGAAGGTACGAAGAGCACCCTGACTACGGTGTGGACTTGATTCTTGTGTGGTCCTTGGGGTCGAGGCACCCTTAACCCCAAAACCTGAATTTCAGGGTTGGCTAGGGTTTAGGGTGTAGGGTTTAGGGTTTTGGCTGTAAGTTTCAGACGCATGTCTCTTCAGACTGAAGATCAGGGATGTTGTAGGGGTCTGAAGAAATTATGAGTATATCCTTTTACAGTCCCTTTGTAAATCGCACAAGATATTCCAACACTCTATTCTACTCATGAAGGCCCCGATCAAGAATCCTGCAAACCTGCTAGAAAGAACCTTCATAAGCCCAAAGAAAAGATGAAACCCTTACCTAGTTACTCAGTTCTCAAGCCCCCAAAGGTGTGTACATTTTCAGTTCTATAAGAGATCATATCATCCTATTAAAAATGCATAAAGTGTGCTAGTAAGGTTTATGTGAACCCTCCACCCTAAACATCCCTAAACCCTAAACGTCCCTAAACCCTAAACCCAACGCCTTATTCCGTGATGTGTGGCCCAAGGTTCACTACCCTCAGTCTGACATGCTCGTCTTCATCAGATGCCCTGCAGCTGAAGAGTTTAGTGCTCAGGGGGTAAAGGGTTTAGGGTTAAAGGGTTTAGGGTTCAGGGCCTCTAGGATTACAGAGTTTAGGGTTATTTCGACTACTCTTTAGACTTTGCTTCCACGAGTGTGTTCTGTTGTCTACTACGACTGAACTCTGTGCTTTGCTGGTGTTATAATGTCTAACCCCAAGCCTTGTTACCCAGCTGCGGTGTGGCAACGTACCCTGACTTAGTAAGTCAGGCATGCCCTTATCGGGGCCACAAGCAGTTAAAGCTATAGCGGTTTAGGGTTTAGGAGTTTATAGGACCCCTACAAGGTCCCATGATCCTCTAATCATGATCCGTGTGGCCACCCTTGTTGCACCTTCCTGCGCGGCGCGTCATGTCTACGACCAGAGCTGCCAACGGGATACGGGCTTCATATTTGCTTATATTGGGGCCTTAATGATTCGAATAGTGTTTTGGGGTAGATTATTAACTATACGATAACTATGTAAGGTACCCCCCAAGTAGTATTGGTATTTGTTGAGGCCCCTGTAATGTTCCTTCGGGTGTAGATTGCCGGTTAGAAAGCCTCGGCTGGAGGGGGTTTGGGTGTGGCTGCAGGGGCCTAAGTACCTGTATGGGTGGGGTCCTTTAAGGGTTCCTTCAAGGCTCCGAAATGGGGGATACTTACCCTACCTAAGCCCATCATCGTAATTCCTACTATAGAAACCCTCCTAACCTTCTACTAGGTACGTACTTAGGACCCTTTGGGTCGCGTGCGGGGCCTCTTCGCAGGCTGTGAACCTCCAGCGAGCTCGGAGGCTGCATCTTGCCAAGATTCCGCAAGCATTCGTGCAATTTCCGTGTGCATGTGGGATTTGGCGAGATTGAGAGCAGAGTTTCCACGATTGTCCTCCACTTCCTTGTCTGCGTGGGCTTCGAGAAGCAGCCGGACGATTTCAACATGGCCAAGCCTCGATGCATCGAGGAGGGCGGTACTGCCAAGGAAATCCACAGAATCCACGAAGTTGCTGTCCGCTCCTGAACCGTGCTTCAAGAGCAAGTGGACTACATCAACACGACCATGGAAAGATGCAACGATGAGAGCTGTGTTGCCATCGTTGTCTGCACGGGCCTTGTCCACCCCAGCTTCCAGAAGCAACCGCACCGCCGAGGCACGGCCACTGCTCGACGCGCGCATGAGAGCTGTGCTCCCCGAGTAGTCCGCCAAGTCCTTACCGGCTTTGGCCTCCAGCAGCAAACGCACGATACCAGCGTGGCCTTCGGCAGATGCAAGAATGAGGGCAGTGCTGCCGAAGCAGTCGGTCGCGTCCTTCTTAGCACCGGATTCCACAAGTAACTGTGCAGTTTTCACTTCACCAGTCAGAGATGCGACAATCAACGGCGTGTTGCCATCACGATCAGCCAAATCTTTGTCTGCACCTGCCTCCAGTAGCAATCGAACAAGGTCGATGCGGCCACGGCGGCAAGCTGCGAGAAGCGGCCTGTCCCCAGAAAGACTGCCCAAGTCTGGATCTTGAGGGCGTTGTAGAATGGCCTCGACATCAGAGATGGAGCCCCAACTTTCTACAGCGCTTTGAAGCTCATCTGCTTGCTCCTGCGATGCCTGTATGAAGGGTTGCAAAATAAGTTGAACGTCCGTGATGGAATCCAAGGTGTCGGCATCATCCAAGAGCCTTCCCCCGGAGAGCAGTTGCTGCCTGTAGAGCGAAGGGAAGCCGTGATCATGAAGGTGTCGTTTCAATGTCCTCGCATCGCTCACCTCCTCTGCAGGTACTAGGGACAACTCCTCTCCTGCAAGTGACCAGACGTGAAGCATCCCATCCGAAGGGCTATGCTGGTCTAAGGGCTTCCTAGCCTCATCATGGTATCAGGTCATTGAGACCCACGTGCTATGAAGTTTGGGTTGAGGGTTTAGAACTTAGAATGGTTTAGAGTTTCGGCGAGTTCGGCATTGCGGTTTCGTATAGTGTGGGTATGCAACTACCCGAAGAAGCTATCGACCGGAAACTGCGAGCCAAAAGGTCTACTAAGCGACACTTTCGGGTTTGGAGTTTTGGGCTTCAGGATGAACGGTTTAGGTTCATGCAGCACCCTAAACCCAAGGCCCAGGCCCTTCACCTACACCAATGCCTGCACAGCTTTACAGTGATCGCCGAAACCCAAACAACACGCTCTGAACTGTAGCCTGCATGAAATTCGAAGGCGGCAACAAACCCTCAACCCCTCCTAAAGCCAGGGCAGAGCACCACATCGAAGCCTAAACCCTAAATCCTAAACCCCAAACCCTAAACCCTAAACCCTAAAACCCTAAACCCTTTAAACCCTAAACCCTAAACCCTAAAGCCCTAAACCCTAAACCCTAACACGCTAAACCCTAAACCCTAAACCCTAACACCCTAAACCCTAAACCCAAAACCCTAAAGCCCTA